CATTTATCACCAGAGGTTTTAATCATTTTACTGTGAGCCAAGAGAACAGAGCTTCCTTTAAAAGCTGGGGAAGAAAGGGAAACTTTAGAACTTGCTTCGTTGACTAAAAAATGGATTCCTGAAAGCCTCAGTAGCAAGTCTGGGATCTGTGCTGTGCAGGGATCTGAGTTTGGTTTCTTCTCTGCCTTTGAATGTGTGAGTTTATTGCAGCACTGAAGTGGCATTGCATAATGAAAGCTAAGTTCACACTAAATCACTTCAGATTCATTGTCTTGAGTCAACTGAAGGCAGTAACAGCTGTTTTACACTTCATTCAGAATAGAAAATGAAGTTGCTTTGATTTAAATGATGTTTGGCTTTTAAGGAAGGAATAATCATACACTTGTTTGGTTTTGTTTGTTCTTGTTTAAGAACCATTCAAGCTTTGGAGACAGCATCTTACTTGTCCCAGCAGGCAGATCTGAGTGGCATTGTTGAGGAGATCGAGGTAAGAACACACTGTGCTCTCTAATTACTCAGAAATTTGTTAGACCTCTGTAGTACTTAAAGATGTCTTGATGTGAAACACAACATGAAAAGCCAACCTGCCTAATTGCCTGCCTGGCTTGGCTTGGCTCTTCTTTCAAGCAGATATTTCTTTGGACTTTTATCTGTTTCACAGTGGACTAAAACACAGAAAGTCATGGCATTTAAACATAATTACATCCACTAAGGGCTGGAGATTTCTCCTTCCTGATTCTAAATGGCTGTTACAGAATAGTCAGTGATCCCACACGGATACTCTTGATTACAGACCTTACAGCAGAGTTAACTTCTGTGGGTGTACTAGAATGCAATTTAAATGTTAATTACTCTTTCTGTCAGGATCTTGTTGCTCGCCTGGATGACTTGGGTGGAGTTTATCTGCAGTTTGAAGAAGGAATTGAGACCACTGCCCTGTTCGTTGCTGCTGCCTATAAGCTGTCAGACCATGTGGGTACGGAGCCAGCAATGAAGGAGGTCTGTACCTGCCTTTTCCTCCCTTGCTCCAGCTCACAGAAGGGATCTGCCTAGTCCCTGTTGTGCAGTGTAAGAGTTGGCATAACTGGGTAGAATCTCTGCTGGAAGAAGTATTGAGCACACTCAGTGAAAAGAGACATCTAAAAGGGAATGCTAAGGAGTGGAATCTAGGAGGAAATTCCAACTTCAGGATCAGAGGCTGAATTTGGTTTGGTTTTTCTTTTTCAAATGTACAGAAGGAAATTGCAAGTGAGGTTTATTTTTTCTTTGTTTATTGAGACAAGCTGTTGAAAAAACCTCGTTTCTTCTGGTATTTGGCACTTGTGTAGCACTTCCAGCATTTCAAAGTGTTTTGCAGATGTTGTTTACCTGTGAGGAAGTACAGGCACCTGAATTTGGGATGCCCAAAAGGGCATTAGCACCACGTGCCTGTGAGTATCCAGAGACAAAACCATGTTGTCTAAAATGAAAGCCTGTTGGAAGTTTCTTTTGAGCTAGAAATCATTACTGCAAGCTGTCCAGTTAGTATTTTTTTTCCACAAGAAGTTAGCAGAGTTAGATGTACTTTGGATTAGGAATGGCAGCTCCCTGAAGCATGAGCCAGAGTGGCAGGGTTGAGGCTGAAGCCAGTGTAAGACATGTGAGTTCATTCCTGGCTCTTTTCCACACTGCTGCCAAACAGACTAATGCAAAGTAATTTTGATGTCATTTTTGAGGTGTTGATTCTGCTACCCGCAGTCCAAACTGTCACTGTCCAAGTGGTGCTTAAAAAAACACCAGTTAAGGGAAATTTTTTAGTGTTGTTTCAGACCTGTGCTGCCAGAAGTGCTGCAGTTGGGGCTTAAAGCTTTCCCTCTGAATGGTGAGAGTAGCTCCAGAATGCCACTAAACTGTCTTTAAAGAATAACATGTAATGTTTGAATAAATAGTTTCCTTTTCCATTTTAATGAGAGTGTCAGCTGCTGATCAGGGTCTGGAGCAATGCCATGCCCTCTACAGAAATGAAAAACACTGCAGGATTTGCACTGTGCAGGAGTTCTGTAGCATTTGTCTGGCTGCTTTTTCTAGTTGTGATGTTTGTTGGTGCTCATCAGTACAAGCAGGAAGGTGAAAATGTGAGGTGCAGTGGATTTTGTTTAGAAGTGTTCTTTGTAGGTTACTAAGTCTATGTCTTTGATTATTCTCATTCTGATTAGAATTTACCCCACAGTCCTTCGCTTGGATCAAAGCACAGGTAGTCAATCCCTGTTTTCCAGACTAGCAGGCAGTGGTGGAAGAAGTTGAGCAAGGCACAGCCTGTGGAGTATGGCACAGGTGCACTAAGCGAGTCAGACTACGGTGGGGACACACAGCCCCACTCCTGCTTTGGAGTGAACAAATTAGCTTTGGCACATCCTGGAGCCAGAGCAGGCTCTGTGCTCCTGGTGGTACTGCTTTAAAGCTAATCCTCTTAGCTTGAGGACACTGCTGAGCCTAAGGGGATAAGCCTGCATGGGCCTAGACTGGCTCCTTCCAGAGCCATTGGGATGCTTTGCATCACTGCTCCGTGGCCTTCCCAGCCTGGCAGGTAGCCAGGACATGAGCCTAGTCCTTCTCTACTGTAAGAAGACAATTGCAGGGCTCCTAAGCCGAGTTGTCTTTTTGCAGCTGCATGCAGTCAGGGTAGCTGAGCTGATGACATCTTCTGTTCCCAAACACATCGTTTGCAGAGGTGGAGCCAAACTCTAGTTTTGCAAGTTTTTAGCACAGTTAGAGGTTGTGGTTGGAACGTCCCAGCCAAGAATAAGAACGCACGTGTGATATTCCAGAGGTAGCAAATTTTGGGTTACCTCATAACTTGAGTTATTTTTAAAGCAAGTGGAAAATTAAACAGCCTTTATGAATGATGTTTTTATTAATAACACTACACTGAGCCAGTTTGCTGTGTTGTGGTAAGCTGCTGGTGCTCATGTGTGATTGACTTTTCCTCTTTCAGGATCAAATTATTCAGCTGATGAATGCAATTTTCAGCAAGAAAAACTTTGAGACCCTCTCAGAAGCCTTCAGTGTTGCTCGTGCTGCAGGTGCTTTATCCCAGAACCGCTACCACTTGCCTGTCATTGTTGTCCCTGAGGGGCCTGCAGCTGTGTCTCACCATCAGCCCATTCTCAGGGTGAGTGCTACAGTCTTGGCTCAGTCTGTAAATTGTAGCTCTGGGCTGACTGAATGTGTAAGGTGATGCCTTTCATTTTAACTCCAGGACTCAGGAACCTCTTCTTACTCAGGGTTTACCAGGCACTTCAAGAAGGCACAGTGTGGAAGTCAGCTCTGCTGGTCACTAACTTCAGCTTTCCCTGTTACATTGGAGAGAGCTAGGGGGATCTGGGATGCTGGGCAGGGGAGAACTGTGGATGTGTAATGCAGGGGGGCAGTGAGCTGGCTGCTCCTGCATTCCTTCTGGGACGTGGGGATTCACAGAAATGCTGGTTTTTTTCTGTTGCAGCTGCAAGTGACCAATGTTATGTCCCAGCCACTGACCCAAGCTTCTGTAAAGCTCGACCACGCCAAGTCTGTGTCTAGCAAAGCCACTGTCCTTCAACAGACACCATTTGCTCTGTCAGGGTAAGGAAATAAGATTGTTTTTACAGTTTGTAAGGCAAACAGGTGTTATTTAAAGAGTATTGGATTTCTTTGTGTTCTTTCACAGGAGGAATGTTTGTGATGGGAGCTCAACATACTGTGGTTGTGTTGTGCTGGTGATGGGTGACTGAGCACATTTGGTGGTGATGATGAATTTCTGCTGCTTTTTCTTTTGATTGGGAGTGGGAAATTCCAATGTTCTTCTAACTTTGGGGCAGCTTTGAGGAATCTTTTTCCTGCTGCACGTACCAATGTTAGTTTTGTGCTGCATTTTTTTTGCCTGCTAGTCTGGCATATTTGGAGGCTTCTTGGTAACGAGATGTTACCTGTTTGTAGGCTGCTGTTAGTGTCCTAGGGGATACTTAACACCTTACTTTTTTGGTTATAGAGACATCTTTGAGCTGAACTTCATGAATGTGAAACCTGCAAGTGGATATTATGATTTCTCTATCAGTGTAGATGGAGATAAGCGATTTATTGCTAACAAAGTGGAGGTGGGTGTGCTCTTTGGTGGCTTTTTAATTCTGTGCCTTTTCACTGAAACAGATTTTTATGTATACCCATGAAGGATGTTGCCAGATGTATGGGATTTTTATCACATGTTTTTCTGTAATGCATTGGATTTTGACTCAGGATTATGACCAGTAACCAGATTAATATATGATCAAAAGGGATTTGTGTAAATTTCCAAACTGATTTATCACTTAGATGCTGATCTGACAGCAAATGAACAAAGGGTGACAGTGGAAGTGTTATGGCAGCCCAGAGCAGCTATGCAAAAGTGGTTACTAAGAGTTCTTCAGAGCATTTCAGACTTGAGCCCATAAATCTCAAGGCTTGGCTAGCAGTTGTCTGGTGATTGCCTGATGTGTGGAAGCTGAGCATTTGTTGTTGTCCGTGTGTATAAGCTCTAGAGCCCTATAAAAGCGTCAAGGGAGTCTTTTGTCATGTCCTTACTGTGTCTGTGGAGGTGCTTTTGTAGTGGAGAAGCAGTGACCAAAGCAAATGCAAATGAAGTCTTCCTTTCATGCATACACACCTCCTTTTTGGTGGCAAAAGCTGTTGTTAGACCACACCTTTAGAATCACAGAATCATCAAGGTTGGAAGAGACCTTCAAGATGATCCAGTCCAACCATCCACCCAGCACTGCCACTGTAATTCTTAACCCACATCATCCAGTGCCAGATCCAGACACCTCTTAAACATCTCCAGGGATGGTGACTCCACCACCTCCCTGGGCAACTTATTCCAAGGCCTTTCTTTCTGAAGAGGAGTTTTATGTAAGTGATCAGTCTGTTACAGTGAGAAGAATGTGACCTCTGTGGCTATGCATATAGTCACCCCAGTGTCAGCAGCTGAGAATGCTCTTCAGTGATGTCTATTCCCAGGGTTAGTTTTTGCCCTCAGTCACCTATTTAAGAAAATGATTAGTTTTTCAGATCTTCCAACATACTCAGCTTGGAGTAGAGGAAGACACTTATTTACAACTGCTGACCTTTATTCTGGGTATCAAATTGGTGCTGTCAGAGTAGTAATGGCACTCAGGAGTGTCAGAAGGGGATGGATTGTCCTGCTTAAGCTGGTCCTGGCACATGGAGGCACCGGCAGGAATGTATTAGCACTGGCAGCTCTGTGAGAACTGCTGCTAATAAGACACATTGTTATGGGGGAGGACTGCTGGGGAACTGCTTTTTTTCCTTACTGTTATTAGCATTAATTGTCCTTAATGCACCATCGTTTTGACAGTAATGAGCTAAACCAGTGGGTTATTACTCCGGCAGAGACTACATTTCCTGGCATTAAAATATTTGAGAGATGTTTGTGTACTGTGCTGCTGGAGGGGCTGTGTGCACCAGCTCTGAGTTGCCTTCACACAACTTTTTATAAATTAATATTTCATTAGTCCATTTTTCTTTGCTCCCAGCTTGGAACAGACTAAGGTTTTGCTAAAGTTAGCCTGAATCATCTGCATGTTAATGGATCCATTTTCAGGGGTAACCTCTACTTTGAATTACAGTTTTAGTTGTAAAAGGGCTGCCAAGATGGTTGTGTTTGAAGTCTGACCTGAATAGTTTGGTTAATGTTTTTACATATTTTTCCCACAGGTTCCCTGTGAATTATTTTTCAGGGTGAGGGTGTGGGGCTGGTTCACATGAGCAAACCTGTAATAACAAATTGTAGTATAAGATGAAAAATATGTTGGCAAAGAAACTTTAATTCTCCAGGGGAGCATTTGTAAGCTGTGAGAACAACTGTGCTAATTAAAAACTACAGACTGCAGTACCTGATTGAAATCAGTCAAACCCACCAGGGCTCACTGCCTAGATGAGCTGTGGTTTGGGGCTGGGGAGAGGGCAGGGAGTCATTTCTGCTCGGGATTTATACTGCCCTTAGCACAAAGGAGTGTGATGAATGGCAGGGCCTTATTGGC